AGCAGGGTGCACGGTCCTCTTCCTAAGATATCTTGAGTACATTTTAACAACCCATGCAGCAGAAGATTGTTGTTCCATTGTTTTACCTGTGGCAGGTTAGGGCGATATGCCTTGTAGTTGTGTGAAATAATTCACTGTGTAGTTTTAGTAATAAGTTAGACAGAGATTTGTATGGAATGGTTTGGATACGGATGATCTTGCCTCACTCAGGAAGGAAGTTGGACTAGATGATCTCCAAAGGTCCCTTCAAGTTCTACTTTTCTATGATTCAATCCCCTTTTGAACTGCTTAAACTGTCAGTCTCCACAAGTGATCTGTTATTAGTAGTTCTATAGTACCTCTGTCTTTTTTAGTACACTTTCATCATCCTTCTACACAGAGAACTCATCATGGCTTAATCAAATTATTTTGTTCTCAAGTTGTTTCACTCTATTCTGTTTGCATATTAAAAATAGCCTGAAGGAGATACTAGTAATCTAATAAATCAGTGGTTTTCAACCTTTTTTCATTTGTGAACCCCTAAAAATTATTGAAAGGAGGTGCAGACCCCTTTGAATTGTAAGTGTGGATATTCACTTTTGATTGAACATAGTCATCTTCGATTGAACATAGTCAGCATACCACAGGTTGAAAACCACTGTAATAGATCATTGTTACTTGACAATTCACTGTTTTTATCTGACAACAATTACTGACTGCACATTTAGCAAGAAAAAGGCACAATTCAGGACATGTAGTTATGATATAGATGCGGACACCAGATAATAGCAAATGTCATTTAACATCAGTGATAATTTGGGGACTAGAATCAGGGCAAAGGAATAAGTATGGCCTAGCATCAATCAAATGTTTTGATGTCACAATTATTTCCTATGTAGCTATCTGACAGCTTCACAGTTTTTGATGCATTTATCCTCAGATACATTTTGATATAGGAAAGTCCTATTACCCTCATTTGCCACATGGGGACCAAAGCAGAGAGAGACTAAGAAGAAAATGTATACTACTTTCATGCTGCTCTTGAAGCTGCTGCTGGGGAATATGGTCCTACCCACTGGCTCCTGTTCTAGATGCACTAAATCCAGGAATAAGGCAGGAGAACTGCTATAGGGGCCTTATTTCTGGGTTTGGCACATGAAAAATAAAAATGGGTAGGCAGTCAGGATTGTGCTTCTTGGCAGCAGCCAGAAAGCACTGGGGAAACAGTACAGACATACCTTAAGTGACTTGCTCAGGGCTACACAGGCAATGTATGGCAGAGGAGCAAGGACTTGAGCCTACATCTCCTAAGTCCTCTGCTAGTATCCCAGCTACTGGGCCATCCTTATTCTTGTGAGCTATTATGCAACTAGACATCACTAAACTTGGAAATCACATAATTGAATGTAGAAATCACACCTAAGTGTGAAAATGTTTACATGGCCCTTATTTTAGAAAGCTGTGATTAGCCATGTTAGTCTGAAGTTGAGTAGAAGGCAGGGTAGATTTGAACCTTATAGACTAACTAAGCTAGATAGATATGCACATGTATATATACCTACATGCCAAAATAGATATATATATTAGAGGTGCACCAATATATCGGTCCATATCGTATCGGCACCAATAAAAGGAAAATTGACATTAATGGCAATGGCTTTTTTTGGCTGATGTGGCCAATAATGTCATCAATAAATGCTGAGTGCATGGGTGCAGCTGCAGCATTCGCACATCCAGGAGTGCAGCCCAGCAGTGTGGAGAGCAGTGTCCAGCAGGTAAGTCTGTTGTGGGGAAGGGAAGGGGCATGGGGGTGCAGATTGCACAGTTGCGGCAGGACAGAGCTGTGAGCAGCTTGTCCAGGAGGTGCAGTGGGAGGCGATCCCACTGCTGTGCGCACCCCTGGGGAAGGCATGGGGGGAACATGCCCCCTGGATATGTGTTTGGGGTGAGGGTAGATTGGTGCTGTGGGCTGGGGCTGCAGGTGGTGTTGGGGTTCTTCCCAGTGGGGGGTGAGGTTGAGCCGGGGCTGTGCTCGGGGCGGGTGGCGGAGGCACTGGGAAGTGGGGGGAATGGGGGGACCCTCACCCTGGGCTGCCGCTGCCTATCCTAAGTGCAGCCCTGGCCCAACCCCCCACTGGGAAGAGCTCAGTATCACCCCCAGCCCAAGTCCACAGTGGCAGCCTGCCCTTGCCCTGCGGACAGATCCAAGGGGCACATGCCCCCCATGCCTGTGCACATAGCAGTGAAAGCCATGCCTCCCTCCTCGTGCTGCCTGGATGAGCCATTTGTGGCTCTGGCCTGCCCCAGCTGGGCAGTGCCTACCTCTGCCCCAGCCCCACTCCCTCTCTCACTGTGGAGACTTTGATCTACTCCCCCTCCCACACCTCTTTCCCCAACAGACTTACCATCCGGATGCTGCTCTCCAAGCTGCCAGGCTTGCATGTCAGCAATCGGATTGCTATTGGCTGATATGACTTGTTAATAATTGGCCACCGGTTTCGACCCAAAAAATCTTTATTGGTGCACCCCTAATATATATCTACCTACTTTGGTTAGTTTATAAGACTAGGAACAGAAATTACACATAAATAAGTATAAACAATCAGAAACCAGTTTAAATCTGTAACACAACAGAAGTTCAGTGCATATAAACCACTTGCAAAATGGCTGAAACCAGTTTAAGATAAACTGGATGAATGTAGTATCAGACTTAACTGATTTAGGTTAAATCAGTTTATTGAACTTCTGTCCCAGATTCCCCTACAGATTCAAGTTAACCTGCAGTCCCCCACCATCCCAGGATGCTTTGCACCTCCCCCGCAAACCCCTCCCTTGCAGGGTAGGTGGGCTAGTGTTGACCCAAGCTGTCTGCTCCAACCGAGCTGGGAGGTGCAATCCAGTGCCCCTTGACTTCCACCCTGGCCCACTGCAGGCATGCAGCTCCATTTCTAAAATCAAAAGTGAACGCCTGTTTACTTGCTTATAGATTCAATCTATACAGCCTAGCACATGTGAAGACTGAATAGATTCAGCCTAGGTCTTTTTGACTGTCTGTACTTAGCCTAAATGTGCAAATCTACCCTGCCTTAGTATGGAACTCAGCCATCCAAAAGGACCGTGTTTGTCATGACAACACTGGGCCCCTTCAGATGACAAGATTAATAAAATACAGCAGTGGGTCAAAGCCTTGCCTCTACTCCCTTTGATTCATGCCTGTGGGGAAACAGCTCAAAAACAATTGATGTCTAACAAACCTACCTTTAGTGTAGGCCTGATAGTTGCTGGTTGCCATTAGAAAATGTGACAGAAATTCCTACCAGTCATTGTGCTGATACAGAGTTTGACTATGTCACAAATGTTCCCAAAACACTGCACCTGCACATGAAATGGTAAATCGACATAGCTAAAATGAAAAATAAATTGGTCTTGTGCCTAATATATAAAATATCAGCTACTTAACAGGGGATATGCCTACACAAAAAATTGAACCTAATAATCCAGGGTCTCTGCCAACAGACAAAGCCAGCGTGCTATTTTCAAAACTGTATCTACAGTCAAATCCCAGAAACAAGGAACATATATGTTATATCCTATTTCATCCGTTTCATGCTAAGCCCATTCCCAAGAAAAAGGTTACTTACACACTGCTGTCTGTCAGTGACATAGTGTCCGCATCACTTGACATGCTCTGCTGCTCACTGTCATTGGCACTGGTGGCTGGTGCTAAAGCATACCCTGTGTTGACATAGTAAGGGTTAACTGGTTCTCTCCATGGTCCATGCCTGGAAAAAATAAAATAAAATTCAGATCATACCATCTTGTACCTTGCAGTCACCACAGGTTCTAAGCAAGTGAGCCTGAACTGGCAAGAATTGGTTACTGTCTGTTTTAGAGGTTTCCTTCATGGTCAATTCAATAAAGGATTTCCTGGTTAGGATGGCAGAGAAAGCAATGAAGGCTCAACTTCAAAGATCATAAGCTAATAAACAGAAACAAGCACAAACGTGATGGAATATTTACAAAACATCACAACACTAGGCTAGAAAGGTGTTGTCTTATAATATAGATATTTACCACAAGAGTTTGTTTATTTGATGTATATGCTACCCTTCCCATCAAAAGCTAGGGTAGTTTAAAGTAAGAGACAAAATAGTTTATAATTAGAGGTCTACTTAAATCACGGTTCTGTGGATTTTGCAGAAAATGTGAAATATGGGATTGTCTGTGATAACCAGGAAATATGGGATTGTCCACAAAATCAACTTAAAAAAATGAAATGCGTATTATTCACATAATACGCTGTTTAAGAATGTCCCAATGCTTACCACAATACAAAGACAATATAACTATATAACTAGTCATAGATCACATGACTGAGTTACTGTCTACTTGTTCAGTATGGTAGAATAACATGTTTCAGCCCCATCTTAAATGCAACAGTTTGAAGCATGAAGATGACTGAAAATAAATTTTAGAAAGCTAAATACATTTCAGCTGGTAATAATTCCTTACAGGAACCTCACATTCAGATAGTGGTAAATTGTTTTGTTCAATCTTGCAACGTACCTCTGGATGGATCAAGAAAGTGAAAGACTTCTACAGAGGCTGAGGTCAATAAACAAACAACAATGTCCTTGATATTTAAAAGAATCACTGAAAGCAATTTAACAAGAAGAGAAGCTACATTTGAGCTACTGGAGGCATTCACTACTGCCAACATACCTTTGGAAAAATTGATAACCTAAAACTAAGGGAGTATTTCAGCAAGTACATACCAAATGCTGGGAGTTTCCCACATGCAAACAAACTTAGCCAGGATTATCTACCAGAAGTAACTGCTTTGCATGTTCAGTCTACAAAATCTTCATTGACAGAATATGATTCATTTTTAGTTGTAGCAGACGAATCAACAGTTGCAGAAGACAACTATGTACTCCGCGTTTTAATTGTACCTGGGAGCTGGAAAGACTGCAACCGTGTTTGTTTTTCAAACAGAGCTGGTTCAACTCAAGTCTGTAAATTTTTTAACTGTCGCACAAGCTGTACTGAAGGCTGTTGTAAAGTATGGCTTAGAATTTAACAAGATCTCAGCATTTTTTATACTTCTCATATACATGCTATGTATATGTGCAAAGTATTCTCTGATGCGTTCCATGGAATGATGTCCAATGCAATTCATGTTACCTGCAATGCACACATCCTTTCTTTAGTAAGTCATAGCTGATGCACATGTTTTCTTGATGTGCATATCCTGGTTTCTTCTTCTAAAAATCATTCAAACACTGTCCAGCCTGTAAGCTTCAATACAGGGAGTCCATCACCAATCAAAGTGAGGATCTAAATGCGACTATGTCACTTTCACCAGAACCGTGCTTACAAGGTGGAATTCATGGTTTAAAGCAGTTTGCTACCATGCAAAGAAGATTAAATACTACCAGCAATCTGTGTGTGACAAGTTTGAGAGCACACCCAGCACACGGTGTATGCTTAAATTACAGAGTCTTCTAAAACAGGGCAAAATTGAAGAGCAAGTTAAGTTTGTGGCTGAAAATGTGTTCATGGAAATTCTAAAGTGGTTTGAAAGTTGGCAGATTTTGATTCACAAAGCACTCCACAAACTGATGCGTTTGATAATTTGGCTCGAAGACAACTTTCAGATTGTCCAACTGAAAGGCAGTGTAGACAAGAACTGTTCCAGGCCACAGCTGAAAAGTTAAATCAGTTATAAGTATGATCAATCACTACTGTCTCGGACGGCCAGAGCCGACTCCAGTTACGTTACAAATTGGTCGTACGTTAGGGCGGGCTGGTGAATGGAGAGGCAGACACAACTTATCGGTTGCAAAAAACTTTACTCACGCCGCCTGCAATCACGACGCAGGTGGTCCGGTCGTCTGAACAACCACACGAGTTGTTCCA